GTTTGTTTTATAGGATCAGCCATTCTAGATGATGTAAAACCTAGTACTTCAAACTATGTACCAACAGAAATACAGAAAGGAATAGGTAATTGTTATAAAAGGAAATACTTTTATCACATTGTAATATTTTATGAAACTGCATATAGCTTTAAATTTATTTGCAGATGAAGGATTATCTATTCCTGAACGCAGTAAAAAAACACAAACAGATTTGATTTTATCAAAAAATTTACCTCGGAAAAAATTATTAAGGACAAAATTCTTGTGATATTTGCTTAACGTATGCAAAACAATATATTGATTTAGACAGCACGTCATATTATTGTTTTCTTCGAGCATATAATTCTACTGAAGAAAACCTCTATGGCAGTTTATTAATGCCAAATGACGAGTTTATTGAATACATAAAAAAGTTAGAATACAGTTTTTTCGATAATATTAAAGAGTTAATAGTACAACCAAAAATTATTCATAATTTAATATGTATTTGCAATAATATTAAATTTAGTCATCCCTGTCCACAATTCCCAATACAATATTTAATTAAATTATATTGTAGAGTCAGGTTATTTTATACTTTGAAATTTATAAACAGAAAATTCAAACTGCAAATAGGTCACAAAAAATGATAATTTTAAGCCACAATTAAATATAATTTAATGTTTAATTATTTCATTTATTTGTTCTTTAAATATAATACCTTAATGAACATTCTTCTATCTTCTTTATATTTCTATATATTATATAACATATTGCGTTTATATTTTTGCATGTAAAAATAAAGTTCTTTTTGAACTCTCTGTGTTACTTGCTCTGTGTGTTACTCTCTGTGTTATTTGCTTTCATATATTTTTTAAATATTTTTTCATTTAAACTGTTTCTATTGTATTTTACCCTTTTTTTCCTTGCTAATCTTTATTTACTTTCTAATTCATATTAATTTATTTGATTGTGTGTTGAGTTTAATTTGTATCAATTATTAACGTCACTTGCACTATATTTATATTTTAATGTAAATCTGGATTACTTTAAGTTGGAAATAAGATGCTTACTAATTGCCATTAATTGCTATTCTTGCTATAATTATTAATAGTTCATTTAATATTATTTTAGGGCAAAACCGAAGTATCTTGGCATCTAAAGAAGTTTTATTATAAATAAAACAATTTATGCTGTTGTACAATACAAAGATTCATAATGATTCAATAAAAAATATAATTTATTTTATTTTTGCATATTTAAGATATTAATTATTTAGGATAATATACATACATACATACATATATATACAGGGTGGACCATTTTAACCTTTAATGGAGAATAACTCGACCGGTGAGCGAAATAAAGTTTCATACAAAAGTTGTTGGACAAGGAGGGGGACGTATGACCATATCCTTGAATTTGACCTTGACTTTGACCTTAGGGGTTATTTGAAGGTCAAATAACATTTTTTAAATGGAATTGCCTATTTTCGACCCCGGATTTGGAAAGAGCGGGAAATTTTAGAATAGGATATGGTATGATCGATAAGATCAAATGTCATGTTTTGAGGTCATTTCAAAGTCAAAAGGAACTTGTACGTGTATTCATGCGAAAATCGTATCTGTATACGGGGATTTCTAAATTATCTTCTACACTTAGCATTACCCAGAGACAACGACGTGGACGTGGTAGAATTCTGCCTCTTTCGGGGTGCTTGTTTAGAGTGAGTCCCCTTGCCTCTCACTATGCATACTTTGCTATTGTTAATCTAGCTATTCAAAAGGTTTTCGAAAGTTGCACCGTTAGCATTTATGCAATAATTGAGATTTCCTTCTTTGGAAATGGGCCACTGTGCTGAGCAAGACATTTCGTGGAATCGCTTCACAAGCTCGTCTTATGCGATTTTCCATATCTTCTCTTGTTGTTGGTTCTTCTTTGAAAACAACTTCTTTCAAATAGCCCCAGAGATAAAAATCGAGTGACGTCAAATCAGGAGAACGAGGAGGCCATGCAATCGGACCCTCTCGACCAATCCATCGGTTCGGGTACCTTTCATCTAAAAACCTCCTGACTATACGTGCAAAGTGCGGTGGTGCACCATCCTGTTGGAAGAACATCCTTCGCCTGGTTTCCAAGTCTACGTTCTCCAACAAATGAGGCAATTGGTCTGTGAGCAAATCGAGGTACGTATTTGCATTCACAGTACGTTCGAAAAAGAATGGACCGACCAAGTATCCATTAACAATCCCGCACCAGACATTGAGGCTCCAGCGGTGTTGATTGTCAATCGCTCTATGCCAGTGCGGATTGGTATCGGACCAATAATGGCAATTATGCCGGTTCAACTCCCCTGTGTTCTTGAACGTCGCTTCATCGGAAAACATCACAAATCTAAAAAAATTAGGGTCCCGATCGATCTGCTGTAAGGCCCACCGGCAAAACTCGAGGCGTCGATCAAAATCGGCAGGTAATAATGTTTGGGTCAAAGTGATATGATAAGCATGGTACTTCCGAGCCTTCAAAATCCGCAAGATTGTGGACTTCGGTATTCCTGTGGATACCTCCAGTCTACGGCTCGAAATATGAGGATCAAGATAGACCGATGCCAAAATAGTCAGCACTCGAACGTCATTCTCGTCATATTCGTGATGACGACGTTGACGTGTCATTTGCCCAGTACGTGCCCTCGTGGTCAAATTTCTGATCGTCACGTTACACGGATGTCGTCTCCTCGGAAAGCGCTGAGCGTAAAGTGCTGCGGCATTCACATGTGGCCGGTAGGAGCACGCAGAGAAAGACAATATGTCCACGTCGCTTCCGGGTAATGCTCACATTTTTCACTCGCAAGGAATTATTCACTGAGAATACAAAATAGTGTTATCATTGTTATTATTATCATTATTCGCCCAAAAATAATATTGATAATAATAATTATAACAATAATTATTATAAAGCTAGTATAATAAATATTGTTCATTGAGATAAAACTCAATTATTATCATACAGCTTGTCTCTTAGTATTAATAAGCAGAGATCTGGTGTGATTAAAATGGGAGATTATACACTCAATGAGATCGTTGATATGATTTATATTTTAGGAGAATGTCGAGGTGTCTATATGAATGCCGCAGCACTTTACGCTCAGCGCTTTCCGAGGAGACGACATCCGTGTAACGTGACGATCAGAAATTTGACCACGAGGGCACGTACTGGGCAAATGACACGTCAACGTCGTCATCACGAATATGACGAGAATAACGTTCGAGTGCTGACTATTTTGGCATCGGTCTATCTTGATCCTCATATTTCGAGCCGTAGACTGGAGGTATCCACAGGAATACCGAAGTCCACAATCTTGCGGATTTTGAAGGCTCGGAAGTACCATGCTTATCATATCACTTTGACCCAAACATTATTACCTGCCGATTTTGATCGACGCCTCGAGTTTTGCCGGTGGGCCTTACAGCAGATCGATCGGGACCCTAATTTTTTTAGATTTGTGATGTTTTCCGATGAAGCGACGTTCAAGAACACAGGGGAGTTGAACCGGCATAATTGCCATTATTGGTCCGATACCAATCCGCACTGGCATAGAGCGATTGACAATCAACACCGCTGGAGCCTCAATGTCTGGTGCGGGATTGTTAATGGATACTTGGTCGGTCCATTCTTTTTCGAACGTACTGTGAATGCAAATACGTACCTCGATTTGCTCACAGACCAATTGCCTCATTTGTTGGAGAACGTAGACTTGGAAACCAGGCGAAGGATGTTCTTCCAACAGGATGGTGCACCACCGCACTTTGCACGTATAGTCAGGAGGTTTTTAGATGAAAGGTACCCGAACCGATGGATTGGTCGAGAGGGTCCGATTGCATGGCCTCCTCGTTCTCCTGATTTGACGTCACTCGATTTTTATCTCTGGGGCTATTTGAAAGAAGTTGTTTTCAAAGAAGAACCAACAACAAGAGAAGATATGGAAAATCGCATAAGACGAGCTTGTGAAGCGATTCCACGAAATGTCTTGCTCAGCACAGTGGCCCATTTCCAAAGAAGGAAATCTCAATTATTGCATAAATGCTAACGGTGCAACTTTCGAAAACCTTTTGAATAGCTAGATTAACAATAGCAAAGTATGCATAGTGAGAGGCAAGGGGACTCACTCTAAACAAGCACCCCGAAAGAGGCAGAATTCTACCACGTCCACGTCGTTGTCTCTGGGTAATGCTAAGTGTAGAAGATAATTTAGAAATCCCCGTATACAGATACGATTTTCGCATGAATACATGTACAAGTTCCTTTTGACTTTGAAATGACCTCAAAACATGACATTTGATCTTATCGATCATACCATATCCTATTCTAAAATTTCCCGCTCTTTCCAAATCCGGGGTCAAAAATAGGCAATTCCATTTAAAAAATGTTATTTGACCTTCAAATAACCCCTAAGGTCAAAGTCAAGGTCAAATTCAAGGATATGGTCATACGTCCCCCTCCTTGTCCAACAATTTTTGTATGAAACTTTTTTCATTATTTCGCTCACCGGTCGAGTTATTCTCCATTAAAGGTTAAAATGGTCCACCCTGTATATATATGTTATGTATTAAATAAGATTCGTGAATGATCATGCGGCATACATTACATATGAGTTTTTATGGCGACGTTTACTGTCATATGCTTATATATTAGATTTAATTTCATAAAAGTTCTCTGTCATTATTTCCTATGTAATGTATCTTTTTTTTTAAATTAATAATAAAAAATATATGTGATCGTTTGCAAAAGGGTAGAGAACTTTTTGTTTAGTTTGATCTTATTTATCTTCATAGACGGTATTGCGTGTCATGCGTCAGGCATTCCGTATATTGTTTTTTAATTCCATTAATACATTCCTGAAATATGATGATATTAAAAATGAAAAGTAAATTTACATCAATATATAGTTGTATACTACAAATTATACATAACTTTAATCTAATTTAAAAATATTTTGCGTGAGATTTGCGTGAGTCCTTTGATATCGTTCAAATGGAGCGCCCGTACAGCCCTCAACATGGCTGATCAATGACCACTGACATCAAAAAGGAACCGACAGCTACTGTCGTAACTGTATGTAGTTAAACTGTGCCCTTAATGTGCTACTAGGTCTGTTCGTTTTCGCTGCACTGCTGAACTAGTGTAATAAGTTAGAGTGAAAAAATCCATATTTGTCTCACTTATTGCACCAGTTCAGCAGTGCAGCGAAAACGAACAGACCTACTGGCTTTAAAGTGTATTCCATTTCATACTTGTAACGCTCGCGACATTGTTCTATTCTTATTTAGCATCTATTATTTATAGACGGATCTTATATTCAAGATCGTCTTAAGCATAGTTGACATCATTCAACATGTCAAACTCCAAGAAAAAGAAGAGCTACAAAGCTTTTTTGGAACCAGAGTTTAGAGCATCGCAAGTGAATCGTCAAACATATCAACGATGGATGACACATGTTACAAAAGGTTAGTAAATTTGTATATATATTTGCGTATATGCTACGATTTAAATCCGAATCATCGTTTTTCAGATCGTAGAACATTCGAATATAATATTTCATCACGAATAAAATTTGTCACTGATATTATCCGGGTATTCAGATATTTTATGCCACAAATAGTGTGAATAGTGTCATTCATATTATTCGATTATCTGAGTAATGAATATTTATATATTTGGATATATTTAGTATATATTTGGATGTATATTTAATAATTAAGACTGGAATTAAAACTGTATATATTTAGTAATGTGTAATCAATTCCATGCAATAACATTTATAATAATACACTTTATAATAACACACAGGAAATACCATATTGGAACATTCGGAACTGCGAAATGAGGAAGCAGTTGGGACGTTGACAGATTTAAATCAGAGGTCACAATATGAGTTAAACACCACAGCAATTGATGTCTCATCAAATGAAAATGAAGATACTAGAAATTGGAACGAAATTATACACGATGAGAACTCTGAAAAAGAAGAATGTGATAGAAATATGTCCTGTAATGATGAAATGGAGAATAATAATTTTGTTACCGAGGATGATTTTAATTTGTTTGTAACTTCAAACAAGAATTATGGTACAAATGATGATACTATCATGTTTGAAGCTGCCGGTTTGTCAATTTCTCAAGTATATATAATGGTCCATGCTTTATGTTTACGTTATCACCATTCTGATGAATCTAGACATGCTCTATTGAATTTGATCAAAATTTTAGCTGGGCCAAAATTTAGTCATGTTAATATTACTAAATATGCAATATCGAAAAAGTACAATCCGCCCAATGACACCATATCGTATATATTTTATTGTGAACAATGTTATAAGGTATTGTTACATCTACTCTCTCAAACTCATATTAGTAAAAATAAAAATGCAACGTGCCATCAGTGTGGAAAAAGATATCAAATTTCTAGTAAGTCTTTAAATTATTTTTTATCTATTAATGTTGAATATCAAATACGTACTTTATTAGAAGATAAAAATATGCAAGAAATTTTGATGAATAATATGGATAACGTAAACGTTAAATTGAAGGAAACAAATCATATTTCGGATGTATACGATTGTCATTTGTACAAAGATATTGCACAAAATAAAAAATACAGAGTTTTAACTTTTAACTTTAATACAGATGGTTTTCCTGTCTTCAACAGTAGTAAAAGTAGTATTTGGCCCATCCTGTACTATTAAATGAGATACCACCCAAATATAGATTTAAAACTTTAATCTTAGCAAGTTTATGGATGGGTAAAAAAGAACCCAAAGTGGACTTTATGAATCTATATTTACAGACTTTCATTGAACAGATAGAAGAATTAATTAACAATGGTATCACCATATTGGATAACAATAATAAGAACATTACATTTGTTTTACGGCCCTTATGCGCCTCAGTAGACTCTGTCGCTCGCCCTATAATGCAGAATCGATATCAATTTAATGGGTATTTTGGTTGTAGTTGGTGCTATGCAAATGGCGAACATATTTATGGTTCTATGCGATATCCTTTTACAGAAAACGATTTACAAAGAAATCATGAAAAATATCTAACAGACATACAAGAAGTTGAGCATACACAAAGAGCAGTTAATGGTGTTAAAGGTCCTTCCGTGTTGACAAAATAGAAATATTTTGATTGTGTATGGGGATTTCCTGTTGAATATATGCACGGTGTATTATTAGGAGCTGTGCGTCAAATGTGGGCTGAATGGAACTCTTCTAGTTCTTCATTTTATTTATCACGACAACAACGAGACTGTATTGATAAAAGGTTATTGAATATAAAGCCTCCGAAAGAAATACATCGTTTACCGCGAGCGTTGAAAGAAGGTAAACTTAAGGCGAGTGAATGGCGTTCATGGACTTTATTTTATAGTGTGCCATGTCTCACAGGTATTTTAAATGATAATGCGTTAGCTTCGTTTATACTTTTAGTACGAAGTATTAATGTTCTTCTTTCGCAAAGTATTTCAGAAGAAGGTTTGAAACAATGTGACATAGATTTAACACATTTTGTTGGAGAAACCGAAATTTTATATGATAAAGGCGCTATGACTTTTAATATTCACTCATTGTTACATGTAGTTCAAAGTGTTCGTATGAGTGGTCCATTATGGGCTACCTCCGCATTTCCGTATGAAAATGGTATTTTTCATTTGAAACAAAATATCCATGGCCCTAATGGACTACTTTTTCAAATAGCAACGAAAACGTTGCAAAGAAATACATTTGGAAATATTATAATAAATAATAAGAAGGAAACATGTGAACTTTATTGTAAAAGTTTATTTACTCCCCGAAAATTAGTAATGCAACATAACATAAGTGAATGTGGTGCTGTCCTAATAGGAGAGAAAATCGGTTTTGAAGATTTAAAAACTTTTGTTAAAAGAAATATTAGTTTCGAAAATGATACAGATATCGTCAAAATATATGATAGATGTGTTTATAATAATATTATTTTCCACAGTACCTTGTATGAACGACCACAAAAACATAACGATACTGTCATTAAACTAAAATCATCCGCTATAGCTCAAATATTGAGTTTTATTTATTTTAAAAATAAATGTTACTTGCTACTTACAGAGTATGAAGTAGAGCCGATTTATAATATCACTCATATTATGCGTGTACGAAATAATAGAAATACGTCACAAATCAGGAAGATTGTGCCTTTGGAAACAATAAAATGTAAAGTAGTATATATAGATGTAAAAGATAACATGTACGTGTGTATCCCTCCAAATGTGTTTGAAATTCAATAATTATTACCGTTTATAATATATAAACCCAAAAAAGTCGGCATACTATACGGTTCGCTGGAACGATGTCCCTGTCACTTGCGTATTAAAAAGGTTATTTTGTCAAAATAGCTAGTGTTGTTGTTTTCTTATAATCAACACATAGCATTTGTAGAACAATGCATTTTATTTACTTTTCTACAACTATAATAAAAAATACCATAGTTACTAACAGAATAATTGTAATTATTTTATAATAAAACATACTTACATATTTTAACAATGTTTGAATGTTATATCATAAACTGCATTTTTATTAATTGATTGACTTCGACTACTACACTAAGGTCCGGCTCAACAACTTATAATTTAAAACATTTACCTAAACGGTCATAAAAATGAACGTATATATTGCATAATTAGCAACACTCGACAAAAATTGAAAAAAAATTGTATACGTATTTTTTCTGTAATCTATTAACTTTATTATTTTTTGAAAAGAAATGATTGTACTTCTATGCGTTTTGTGCATCTTGTGCATGAGCCGATTCATTCACAGATGTGATATTCAAATCCGATACGTCGAGGTGTTCGTGATGAATCTCGCATACCGAAAGGTAGACTCTATGGTGAAATCGTGATTGAAATACATAAATAATACCATTTGACGAAATTCTGATAAAATATCATTAGTATTCTTTCCGTGATTTGTCAGCAGAGCCAACTTTCCGGATAAGAAACGATAGCACTTCTATGCGTCTTTGTGCATACGAGCCGATTCATTCACAGATGTGATATTCGTATTCGAAACGTCGACGTGTTCGTGATGAATCTCGCATACGGAAAGGTAGAGTGTATGGTGAAATCGTGATTGAAATACATAGATAATACCATTTGACGAAATTCTGATAAAATATCATTAGTATCCTTTCCGTGATTTGTCAGCAGAGCCAACTTTGTATTTTCCGGATAAGAAACGATAGAACTTCTATGCGTCTTTGTGCATACGAGCCGATTCATTCACAGATGTGATATTTGTATCCGAAACGTCGTCGTGTTCGTGATGAATCTCGCATACGGAAAGGTAGACTCTATGGTGAAATCGTGATTGAAATAGATAGATAATACCATTTGATGAAATTCTGATAAAATATCATTAGTATCCTTTCCGTGATTTGTCAGCAGAGCCAACTTTGTATTTTCCGGATAAAAAACGATAGAATTTCTATGCGTCTTTGTGCATACGAACCGATTCATTCACAGATGTGATATTCGTATTCGAAACGTCGACGTGTTCGTGATGAATCTCGCATACGGAAAGGTAGAGTGTATGGTGAAATCGTGATTGAAATACATAGATAATACCATTTGACGAAATTCTGATAAAATATCATTAGTATCCTTTCCGTGATTTGTCAGCAGAGCCAACTTTGTATTTTCCGGATAAGAAACGATAGAACTTCTATGCGTCTTTGTGCATACGAGCCGATTCATTCACAGATGTGATATTCGTTTCCGAAACGTCGTCGTGTTCGTGATGAATCTCGCATACGGAAAGGTAGACTCTATGGTGAAATCGTGATTGAAATAGATAGATAATACCATTTGATGAAATTCTGATAAAATATCATTAGTATCCTTTCCGTGATTTGTCAGCAGAGCCAACTTTGTATTTTCCGGATAAGAAACGATAGCACTTCTATACGTAATTTTGTAAGTTGTCCGATTGATATGCAACAGTATAACCTATATTTGGACATATATAATAAATATCGTTGATCTATTAAAAGAAATGATAAATTCAATCGTGAATTTTCAATTCAATGTCATAAGTATTAATCTGTGATAAAGCTACGATAGAATATTATAAATTACCTTTCGTTAATGTTATATAAAAGGAAACCTTGTTTCTTTCACATAGATATATATAGCTGTTGATAGCGCTTTGCAATATTAAAAATGATATGTGTTTGATGTTAATATAAAAGACTATTGATTCCTTATCGTTGTGTTTACATTAGAAAAATTTATCATAAAATTACATTCGTTATGATAAATTTTCTTTCGTTATAGAAAGTGTGACATAAGCCACATAAATTACTATTGAAGTCACATAGAATCTTTATAGTTTGTTTTCGTTTTCTATCTGACATTTTAAGCAGGGGTTGTCAAACATATTTTCTTCTGTTCAAGAACCACGTCAAGAAACTCGACAAAATATTGCGTGGGTTATAAAAGGTTTTCAAAATGTTGATAAAGTTCATGTTATGCAAATGCAATACTGCAATGTTTATTACATTTAGATGATGTTAGAGAACAATTCATTTCTGATAAACTAAATGTTTTAGGTAAATTAGCACATCAATATGAAAATGGGTTTGCTAACTTGAATACATACATGATACGGCAACATTTAGGAGAGTATTTTTCCAGTAAGGAAAAACGTGATGCATATGAATTTCTTACAGCTCTTTGCGCAAACTATGATTATATAAGAAATTTATTTGAATATAAGGTAAATACTACAAGTCGATGTAAATCTTGTGATAATACAAAATGTACTACAAATAATAACATAATTATTTCAATTCCTATTCATAATCTAAAAAATAAAAGTTACAAGTTTCAAGATTTGATAAATATTACGTTCGGACATTGGTATCAATTATTGAATGAATCATGTGAACATTGTGCAGGAAATGATATGTTGTTTCAAAATGAATTAATATTAACTAAAAAAGTAATTGCTATACATATACTATTTCCATTACAGGATGATAAATTGGTAAAAAAGCATACAATTAATTTGAATGCTGTTCCAACAACTAAAGTATTAATAGCTGGTAAATTTTACAAGGTCATGAATGCATATTTTATCACGGATCAAATATCGATAATAGTCATTACACAAGTATATGTAGAGCAGGGACTTCGAATGTTTGGATCGAAATTCATGATACGCAAATTAAGAAAAGACAATGGCCAAGAGGTGCTAAGGATATTTATATACTTTTCTTAAGAGAAATCAGTAAATAATGAATAATTAGTTAAATAATAATAACCAGTACATATAAATAGATAACATGTTTTGCAACATCAATAAAGAGGACCGTTATATTTAAAAAAATATAACGGGGGCGGTGGTGGGACCGCTTCTATTTTTAATAACAATAAATTAATGTATCTATACACGTACTCATATATATATATATATATATATATACAGGGTGTTTGATAGCTGATCATGCAGACGAAAGTTGGAGATAGATTGGGTGTAGCCGAGAAGAAAAGTCATGTACCATAATGTCAAATTGCCAATAGTTATCCAGTTATTAATTAAAACATGTGAGCCAACGAGCGCGTAGAGAGCGGAGGGCGACCGCAGTAAGCACGTAGACATTTGACACAGGCGGAGTCAGTGAGTGTCGATAGGCAAGCGCGCGCGGCGAGGGGCAACGTAAGCGACAAGAGGCGATCGCGCGCGATGAGGAGCGAGCGAGCGCGACGAAGAGCGAGCGAGCGCGAACGACGAGGAGCGAGCGAGCTATAAGGAAAAAGCTATAAAGAAAAAGCTCGCTCGCTCCTCGTCGCGCGCGATCGCCTCTTGTCGCTTACGTTGCTCTTCGCCGCGCGCGCTTGCCTATCGACACTCACTGACTCCGCCTGTATCAAATGTCTACGGGCTTACTGCGGCCGCCCTCCGCTCTCTACGCGCTCGTTGGCTCACATGTTTTAATTAATAACTCGGTAACTATTGCCAATTTGACATTATAGTACATGACTTTTCTTCTCGGCTACACCCAATCTATCTCCAACTTTCGTCTGCATGATCAGCTATCAAACACTCTGTATATACAGAGTGGGTGGTTATAAGTTTACAACCTGAAGTGGACAGGTAGATTACATTAAGACAAACATAAAAGTCCCATACCGTTTACCGAGATTCGCAATAATTATCGAGTTATTAATGACAGAAATCTTGAGGAGTGGGAGCGCATCGGCATAGATGATTGGAGAAACGTTGCAGCTGCTCAGGCTACGGCGCGGCCCACTCGGCCCAGCAACTGTGGGCGGCGTGTGGCGAGACGTAATTCCGACGAGATAAAACAACGAATACGGCGCGTTGTCATTCCCCTCGTCTTCCCGCTATGTCGGCGCGCTTCTACTCCTCAGATTTCTGTCATTAATAACTCGATAATCATTGCGAATCTTGCAACACGGTATGGGACTTTTATGTTTATCTTAATCCAATCTACCTTCACACTTCGGGTGGGCAGCTTATAACCGACCACCCTATAAATGCGCGTTTTCATCACGCGTTCTCCTCGCGGAGATGATTATCAGTGCTATCCTTTCCACACCACCTAGCGGTAGATAGCATGGCGCGTTTTTTTTTATAGTGGTATCCCCAGGAGGCCTAATCCACTGTATATTAATACATCAACGTAAAAACTGCTCGAAGTGCCGTCCTTCTTCTCGCATACAAAATTTGGCTCTTCGTTTAATATCGCGCGTTGCTCGATGCGTCATTTCCGGCGTGATAGTATTGAAGGCCGCGACAATTACCTCACGTACTTCTTGTTCTGTACCATCACGCCGCTGTTCGATTAAATTCTTAACGTGACCCCATA